CCAGGCGGGTCTCGAACCCGTGGGCTTGGGCAATCCACTCACCTCAGCCTCCCAAAGGCGCGGGATTACAGGCTGAGCCATCAAGCCCGGCTTGGGGTTAGGTTTTTAAGAGATAGAAACCAAATGTACCAAATCCCTCCTGTCCATGCTGCTGTTTGAGGTGCTGTCTAGCTCTCCCTCTTTGGACCTTAGACTTGGGAGGGGGTTATATTTTGAGGTAGGCTGTTAGTCTCTCTTGGACTCACATGACCTGTGTGTCTTTAACATTTCCGCCAAAGTGACTGCTTTTTAGCTACTTTACTTCCATTGCACATGAACAGTCATTGTGTTCACAGGAGTAGCAAAAGAGTCACGAGAGGCTGGCTCCTGAAAGTCAACATTGAGCAAAAGTATCAGAGAAGTGTGCCTGGGTTTTACCACTGAAGTCAGTACTAAACCACATAGGAAAACAGAAGGTGATACCATGAGCTAGGCCTAAGCAACTCAAACTATGAGGGGAGAGGGGATGTATCTTTGCTGACATCAGACTTGAAGGTTAAGTACATCTCAGCTTCTTCTTCTTCTCCTCCTCCTCCTCCTCTTTCTCCTCTTTCTTCTTCGAAACAGGGTCTTACTTGGTTGCCCAGGCTGGAGTACAGTGGCATGATCTTGGCCCACTGCAGCCTCGATCTCCTGGGCTCAGGTGAACCTCCTGTCTCCGCCTCCCAAGTAGCTGGGACTAAAGTGTGCATCATCTCTCCTGGCTAACCAGCTTCTGTTTTGTGGCCATTTCTGACTTCATCATTCATAATTTATCCAATCTGTCATTGAATCCCTTCCTGTAAATAGTCCCTCCCTTTGCCACCACTTGGGGCAATGGGCTTCATTGGTTCCCAGATAGTTTCAAGATCTAGGATTAATACTTACAGTTATTGTTACAGAGATCTCATCACTCACGGAACTCTCAGCATCCCTATTTTTACGGACAAGGAAACAAAGACTTCAATAACTTGCCGAAGGTCACAGAGCTGATAGAGCTGGTATTTGAACCCAGGACTGACTTCTACACCTGAACTCTTAACCCCCACTCCACACCACCCCCAAAGCTACTCCTTGTAGCCACTGGTGTTGGACAACCGGGCTGGTTCACACTGGCTCATTTAGCCCCACTCTGTCTGGAGAAGTACTTGAGCGATTGCCCTGGAATCAATTCCTAACACTTCTTCTCTATAGTGTCTCCTGAATTTCCATTGTTGCAGCCGCCACCCTAGCTCAGGTCCTCACCCACTGTGCCTGGACTGGTTTAATGTTTTTCCAAATTCTTGCATCTCTTGGTCTTTCCTAGTCTAACTCAGCAAACATGCTGTTATCAAAAATCATCTTCCTCAAGCACAGCTCTGTTTTCGACTGTAATAGTCATACTCCACAGGACACTCAAGTGCTTTACAACTTATTAAGTGCTTTCATAGTCACCATGTAATTTTATCTTCACCTTTTGTTGTTGTTTGTTTTCACAATTGAAGAAACTGAGACCAACCCATATGTAGACTTGCCCAAAGTCAAATGCTGGATGGTGAGCAGAGTTGGAACTCAGTTTTAGACCTGACTTCAAATCCAATAATCTTAGTAATCTTCACATGACATTCTGTTGCCTTAAAATGTTGATATGGAGGCTGGGCTCGGTGTCTCAGCCTGTAATCCCACCCTTTGGGAGGCCGAGGCAAGTGGATTGCCAGAGCCCGTGGGTTCGAGACCAGCCCAGGCAACTTGGTGAGACCTCGTCTCTACAATAAATCAAAAATTAGCCAGGTGTGGTAGTGCGCACCTGTAGTTCTGGCTACTTGGAAGGCCGAGGTGGAAGGATTGCTGGAACCCAGCAGGTCAATGCTGGGGTTGCCATGAGCGAGCCACTGCACTCCAGTCTGGGTGATGGAGTAAGACTCCAACTCAAAAAAAAAAAAAAATCAGTATTGAGAACAGATACCTGAGCCTTACGATCTGTGATTTGCAAGACCATTCTCCTCAGGCTTCATAACCGACTTATATCTATTACCTTTATAAGATTCAGCCTGCTGTCATTCATTCCCCCAAGGAAGCACATCCCTGTGCTCTGTCTGATAAAACCCCAATTGTGGTTAAACTCAATTGCCCACCTACTCAGAACCAAGAAGATTACTGCAAGAGAAATGCATATAGTTGTGTTGACTGAGTCACTTCAGAGTTACAACAACAGATGTGAAATTGGCACTTGACACCGCCAATGATGCAACTATGATTTCACAGTAAATTTACTTTCCCATACTCTGAGAGATCTATTTTATGCCTTCTCTTTTCCGCAATTTCCAAAATCTCTCTCCAGCTCATGAGTGAACTATATACTTCATAAAAAAAATTCAAAATCAAATTACCTCTACCCTTTCATTCCACCTAAAGTTCACAAACCAAACTGCATGTGTACCTATATTCTGCTGTCCCATCTGCTACAGTGAGGAAGCATCCCTCTGTCTATCTAGGAAAACCTCTCCAACATTGTCCCGGGCTACAGCTCCTCTCATTTTCTCAAGGATTTCAGGCTTACAAGCACCTTCTCTTCTATATCATCAATGTCTCCTTGTATAGTAAATCCTTCACAATCAATTCATGCTGTAACGTTCCTATTAAAAAACAAACAAGCCGGGCTCAGTGGCTCAGCCTGTAATCCCAGCGCTTTGGGAGGCTGAGATGAGTGGATTGCCTGAGCCCGTGGGTTCAGGACCCGCCTGGGCAACTTGGCAAGACCTCATCTCTACAATAAATCAAAAAATTAGCTGGGCGTGGTAGCGCGTGCTTGTAGATCCAGCTACTTGGAAGGCTGAGG